TCTTAAAAGGTTTAAGAATAAAAAATTAGGATATTATTGAGAAATTGCGAAGTGTGCACACCTTTACTGGGTCAGGATCCATGAATTCTTGAGCCAATTGATTAACTTGTAGAGGCCATGTGGCACTGAACATAACCATCTGGCGTTCTGCAAAAGAGTTGGAGCTTAATATGAGTGCACAGCACCATAGAATCTTTAGTCTTGTAGAACCAAACTCAGGATATAACAGTTATTTAAAAGTGTGTGTAAAAAAAAAAAATGCAAATGAAGATCAAATATGTTAACCTGTACAAGTCTGGCTTAATATAGACCGCACTTCTGGTTCAAATCCCATATCCAACATTCTATCAGCCTCATCAAGAGAACCTACAAGAATTTAAGCTGCCTTGTTAATAGGATTACACATCGAGAATAGAAAAAGGCACAACATAGAACCAATGAGAAGGCAGAACAGAGATACTAGTTTGAACCCAGCAAAATCTATTGCCGCTAATCAGTATTCTCTTTCAAATTCATTTTATGAAATAATCAACGAAATTTTGAGTAACAGATTGCATGCATACTGTTAATATAGCTAGGTTCAAAAATTCTTTACAGTGCACAATTTAATTCATATTTTAAGTTAAACCCAAATTATAATCATCTCTAACTCCAGCACCTTATCGCAACACAAGGTTTGGAACTTCTGTGAACTTTCATGGGGAGAAAATGAAAAAAAAAAAAAAAAAAAAAAAAAAAAAAAAAAGAGAAAAAGGGAGGGAGGGACCCAAGAGAGAATGAAAGAGTACAAAAGAAGCAGAAGGTACATACAAAAAGAAAGTCCAGCAAAAGAAGCCTTAAAGTTAAATATACAAAAGAGGGGCACCAATTAAAAATAATAAGACCAGAGGGTAATAACACAACTCCTTAGAAATTGAACCCAAAAGGAGACATTAAACCTAACATTCAACCAAACCTCCCCCAAGGAACTCGCCAAATTGGATCAAATTATATTTTCAATTTCTATGGTATAAAATACTCTAGTTCACAGGATCCCACATAGATGCACCATGTCTGATTAGCAATCCTACATTGTGCTTCAATACTTCATTTTTTAATGACTACACACAACTAAATAATAAAGATGTTAAATTCACATATTTTTCTTCATGAACGCACAAAATGGCAATTATAGCAACAACAAAAAAAAAAAAAAAAAAAAAAAAAAAAAAAAAAAAAAAAAAAAAAAAAAAGAAGNAGAAGAAAAGATAGACATCAATAGATTTAACTCAAAGTGACCATTCTCCTAAGGTTAAGAATATACAAGTTTTGGTACCAAAGAGATTGGTCACATACCACAAAGGACACTTCAGAGAGTCTGCAGACCTCCATTTCCATCAAATCCTTTAAACGTCCAGGAGTTCCAATAACAATGTCCTGAGGGTAAGAACATAAATGTGTGATTGTATGAAAAAAGAGAGAGTGAACAAAATTAAGGGAAAAAAATGCGTGCTTGTTCTAGGTTGGTTGTAATCTACTACATCAAGAAAAAAGTCCCAAAATCACAAAGAGGAAGCAGAAACATCATACAACACCGGATTTAAGACAAGATATTTGGCTTCCTTTGGAGACACCTCCATACAAACAAGTAGACGTCACACCACACGGTTCTCGGCGTTCTGAAGTACACTTGAAATCTGCCATAGCACATGAAGCCTATAATTAATCACAAATCTGATTCGTAAAACAACAAGATCAACATAAGATTGACATTGCGATGAACACAATTATTATGATCTCAAGGACATTGTCTTCTCCGTTGCAAGACTATCGACACACATAAAACTGATGATGTTTTATGGTAATTACAAGCTTAGATATATTCCACTTAGCTTTACAAGTGCAACTAATCTCATCTCGAGATGGAAAATTTTAATAAGGTTCCAATCCCCGTCCCCATGTTAAAGGTAATATAAGCCAGAAAAAACATATAAACAAAGAAAAATAGCATTCAAAGGGGCTACATGGCGAATTGAACCCTACCAGGGTTTACACATCAGCCATTCATGTGATAAAAGCTTGGCCAATTTCTCATTATTAAGAGGAAACATTAGGCCAGTTTTTCTTCTCTAACCTAATAGGAGATTAATCTAACCCTAGAAAGCTTCCAAAGTCCTGCCTGTAAAATATTTTCCCTCACTTCCCTTGAATTAAATTATTATTAGATAGAACAAAAACTGTACAACCAAACGACAGTCCTGACTAATTAAAAAAAAAATTGAAATATAAGACTATATGCAAATTATCAATACAATATGCAATCCAAGTGAGTTGAATTTCGTGAGAACGTACTTGTTGAGCTAATTCCCTCGTAGGTGATAGAACTAGGCAGAAAGGACTCCGCCCCTTCGGCATCTTGCCCTTTCTCTTGTTCAAAACATGCATAATACCCGGTACACCAAACGCCAGAGTCTTGCCTGTAACCACAAACAACTAAAATATCCGCTATGGCTACACAATGGAGATTATGATCCCATTATAAAATGCTAATAGCCAAATCAACAAATTACCTGATCCAGCGGCGGCTATGCCAATAAAATCTTGACCATGCAACAAGAACGGCCAAGCGTGGGACTGAATAGGAGATGGAGTTTTGAAAGTTCGACAGCATTCCAATACTTCATCTGGAAGTCCCGCTTCGGCAAACGACTTAAGCGGTGCGAACTTTCCCTCCTTTACACCTTTACCAGTGACTACCACGGATCCATCGGTAGAATTTTCATTCACCTTCGGCACTTCCTTTTCATCGGAGGTTGTGATGCTTATGTTTTCGTCCTTTGATTTCTTATGCTTTTTCTTCTTCTTGTGAAGCTCTGAATCAGTTCCCTCCAGTACATTCTTCTCGTGACTAACTTCATCCTTCTCTTGACAACCCGATTCTCTGTCTCTCTTCTTCTTTTTCTTCTTCTTCTCTGTTTTCGTATCGGGTTTCACAAAAACTTCTTGGGCAACCGGTTCGCTGACGGTAGAGCCCTCTTTGAGCTTTCCAACCGTGGCGGTGTCCGGTAGGGGAGCTCAGTGTCACGGTCATGCTCGTTAAGAGCGTGTTGCCCATGGCCACATGCCCATGACAAATCAAACCCTTGTCATATCTTTCATTCTAAGATTTTTACTTTTGTAGTTATAGGCTTATGACGCCTAAAAATTATTATGTCTAGGTCTGCCAGACCTTACAATTTACTATATAGGGAATTATTATGTCTAGGTCTGCCAGACCTTACAATTTACTATATAGGGAATATGAGTAGTTGTCAACTTCTTAACTTATTCCTACCCAATGTTATATATGCTAAGTCGTTATTATCTCTCTCTTGCTTGCTTATATAACGTCTCTTCCAAAAATCTCTCTTTCTAAAATCTTTCTCTACCCTTGTTTTCTAAAACCGAGGCTAGAGGTTCGATCATACGTCGTTTGGCCGTAGGCGACGCAAAAACAAATTGGCTTAGCTCACTTGTCGTTGGAAAGTGAGTGCCGCACAAGCGTTAGTTCGCTGCCTTCAAAAGTACGATTGTGTCTCTCGACTCAAGTCTAGTCGAAGAGAAACAACTAACGAGAGGCCAATTAGGAGCACATTCTGGGGATCTGCACTTATCTCACAATAGTAGCTATAGTTTAGGGGTGATAATTCCACGTTGTGGCAGTAGAGACTTGGGCTTGAATCCCAATAGCCACAATTTATTATATATATATATATATATATATTTTTTTTTTTTTTTTATAGACATTTTTCTAAAATTAATTGTAAGGACCTATTAAATATTTTTTTTTTTTGAAAAAATATATCGTTATTGTTTTTTTTTAATTATTATTTTAAGAAGTAATAAAATCATTTTAAGTAACGTAATTGAGAGAGGCTGCTGATTCAGGGATGAGTCTCCTTCGATTAGGAGTGAATGTAATGAATTGATGCAAACAACAACATGGGCCACGTATATTACATCTCCATGTATCTTTTTGCAGCGGGTCCACGTAATAAATTAATCATAAATAATTGATTCATTAAAAATACATCTACCAATTTCTTATTTATAAAAAAACAAAAACACTAAATTATTCAATTTTCCACCCTAAACTTTTACCTTCCCAAAACTTCCACGAGCATTATAATATTAACTTTAAACATAAAATATTTTCTAAAATTTGTAAATAAAAAATATTATAGCATGCTTTTTAAAGCATATATATGGTACAAATTTGATAATATTTTAAAGAAAAACATTAATATAGCATTTATTATTAAAAATATAATATTATAGAATACTCCCATCCTTTAAAAACATAATATTATTACAAATTAAATTATTAGAACATTATTTTTATTTTATTTTAAAAATTACTTAACAAAATAAACTATATAGTCCAGAGATTGAATTGGATGGGGAAAGCATTTGCATTCTCTCCATGTCTCCTCCATTCCTCACCTCCCACTCCCAATCCTGAACCAGCCACACTTCTTCCGCCACGTGTCCTTCAACTATCCAAACTGCCAACAAATCCCCACCTTGTCATTCTTCCATCCCTCTTTCGTTCACATACATCACAGCTTCCTCATCAACATCTCCACACCCCCTTCCCTTCTCTTCTCTTCTGATATGCAAATTCAAAAAACATATACGTTCAACAAAAAGGTCAAATATCCGAGTTAATTAACTCTAAGGACGTCAACTCGAATATAATTCAACTGATTGAAAGCATATATGTTCAATAAAGAGGTCAAATGTTCGAATCAATAGCTATTCCTTATCATATAAGTGAGCTTCACTAAATTTTTAATCCATTAAAAACGCATCAAATTAAGAAAACTCGACCCAACAAGCACACAAGTACAGATGCTCGGGTTTCATTCGTTCCAAATAGATAATTTGTGGCTCTTTTAAATCGCCCTTCGGTTTCTCGATTCTCAGCCTCCTATTTCACTCATGTTCCAAATCTAGCCTTGAAAACATATAAATGAAACGAGGAAAACAAACCAAAGCCAAAGCCAAAGCCAAAACCCACCCCTCATTTCATTTCTCCTCCATACACTACAAGATAAGGGAAAAAAAAATCTCCCCCACCAACAAAAGAGACCATCTTCCTCTTCTTCTTCTTCTTCTTCTTCTTCTTCTCCACTCCCTCAACAACTGAGAGAGAAAGAAGAGGAAAAAAGAATGGCAGTTTGTACAGTGTACACAACCCAATCCCTAAACTCAACCTTCACATCCTCAACCACAAAATCCCATTTGGGCTTCCACCAAAAGCACCACCACCACCACCAACTGGTTCTCTTCAGCAGCAATGGGAAGAAATGGTGGAGCAGTAAAAGAGACGATCAGAGCAGCGTGGCCAACCGCTACGTGATCACCTGCTCGGCGGGTGGGCAACAGACAGTGGTGATTGGTCTAGCAGCAGATTCAGGGTGTGGGAAAAGCACTTTCATGAGGAGGCTAACAAGCGTGTTTGGAGGGGCAGCAGAGCCACCAAAGGGCGGCAACCCAGACTCAAACACACTCATCAGTGACACCACCACCGTGATATGTTTAGATGACTATCATTCACTGGACAGAACAGGGAGAAAAGAAAAGGGAGTCACAGCACTTGATCCAAGAGCCAACGATTTTGATCTTATGTATGAACAAGTTAAGGCCCTTAAAAATGGCGTGGCTGTTGATAAGCCTATTTACAATCATGTCACTGGCCTTCTTGACCCTCCTGAGCTCATTAAACCACCTAAAATCCTTGTCATTGAGGGCTTACACCCCATGTAAGTTCTTTAATCTCTATCTTTTTCTAATATTTTGAGATGATTTTAGGTAGAAGAATTGAGCAATATACAAAAAAGAACAGAAAAAAAACACAAGAATAACAGAGGATTTCGTTTTTTCTTCATTAAATAGGTATGATTCAAGAGTAAGAGACCTGTTGGACTTCAGTATCTACTTGGACATCAGCAATGAAGTTAAATTTGCATGGAAAATTCAGGTTCCTCTCAAGAACTATCTTCCTTTTGTAGTTTTTGAGCTGTTTTAGAGTATTTTTAAAGAACCCCTCCTCCCTCATTTACAGAGGGACATGGCTGAGAGAGGGCACAGTCTAGAGAGCATCAAAGCGAGTATCGAAGCTCGAAAACCCGACTTCGACGCCTATATTGGTAAGATTTTAAGGAATTTAGAAGGTGTTTTTGATGTCCAAGAACAAGAAGAAGGGAGTTAGTATCTGATGTGTGTGATATACATGAATTTGCAGACCCACAGAAGCAATATGCAGATGCAGTGATTGAAGTGCTACCAACAAAGCTAATTCCAGATGATAATGAAGGAAAAGTGTTGAGAGTAAGGCTGATAATGAAGGAAGGGGTGGAGTTTTTTGATCCAGTTTATTTGTTCGATGAAGGCTCTACGATTTCTTGGATTCCTTGTGGAAGAAAGCTCACTTGTTCTTACCCTGGCATCAAATTCTCTTATGGCCCTGAAATTTACTATGGCAATGAGGTAACATCTACCACTAATTCTCGTTAAAATTCACTAAAACTAACTCGAAGTTGGGTTTTGGTGATGTTTTCGTCTCTTGTTTATCATTTTTCATGACTAATTCGGGTTAAAATTCACTAAAACTCACTCATAAGATAGGTTTTGGTGATGTTTTCGTCATTTTCAAAGATTTTTTCGTTGAATTTTGGTGATGTTTTCGTTTTTTGTTTATCATTTTCATGTTTTTTTTAGTGTTTTTATGATTTATTTAAAGTAAACTACTTATGAAACCCTTTTTAAAATTATAATCAAATTTTAAAATATAAAAAGAATCAAAGTATGCTATGTTTTGTTTTTAAAATTTATTTATTGAATGAAACCAATATTTATAATTTTTCATTACCACCTACAATTTCAAAATATTAAGTTAAATAGTAATAATAATCTAATTATTATCTACTTTTATTAAGTATATAAATATGTTTCTTTTATTGTTTACATTTTATATTACCTACGTTTTTTAAAAATCAAACTAAGTTTTGCATTTTTTTTTAAATAGTTTTTATTTTTGTAATATGGTTTGAATTCAAATATTTTTTAAAAAATTAATTGGATAAGAATGACTTGACATAATTTACAAAAAAAAAAAAACTAAATGAGTTATCAATAGAGTCTACAAAAGTAGTTTTTTAATTTAATTTTCTAAAAAGAAATATAGAAATACGAAAGAGAAGAAGAGAACTCACAATCGAATACTGTGGCGATGCACACAAGGTGTTTGATGAAATGTCTGAATGACGATTTGCAGGTATCCGTACTGGAAATGGACGGGCAATTCGACAGACTCGACGAGCTGATCTATGTCGAAAGCCATTTGAGCAATCTGTCGACAAATTTCTACGGCGAAGTGACTCAACAGATGCTGAAGCACGCGGACTTCCCCGGAAGCAACAATGGCACAGGCTTCTTCCAAACCATAGTCGGATTGAAGATCAGAGATCTGTTCGAGCAGATTTCTGCCAGCAAAGCCAAGGCGCCGGTCGAGGCCGCAAAAGCTTGAAGTTACTGTGGTGAGTGTTTTTCTCAGTCGCCGCGCCGGCCGATGTCTGGATTTAGCTTTTCAATTCAAGCGTTGTGTTGTATTGTTGTAGTCTGAGCTTTATAGGCTGTTTTACAATGAATTATTGTTCTGAAATTCCTGATCGGTGGAGATTTGTAATGTAAAAAACAAACAAACAAAAGAATCGAAAGCGGAAATGATATGCAAAATTCGAAGTTTCTGCAGATATTGGTTTGTTAACTACCGATTTTGATTCGTTGTTTCTTGTTCTCCCCGCATTCACTCATCCTTGTGAACAAGTTTGGTGAGTAAACTTTCACATGAACATTTAATACGTTCTTTAAATAAAATTATTAATACTTGTTAACCTTTCATAAATATTTTAAATAAAATTTGTATACTAAATGGATTTTTAATCAGCATTTAACCCTAAAAAATTTTAAATTATATAAAATATTTTTAACTTTGAATTTCAATTTTAAAAAATACCTTACGAAAACCCTATTAAAAAACATAAAATTTAATTATGATATTTAGAAAAAGATTGTCTATAAATTTGTATTTTTAATACCATATAACTTTAATTAATTAAATTTTGGTTTAATTTTAATTCCTATACCTTAATTTTATATTTTTTTAGTCTATTTTATAATAAATTTTAATAATTATTATCAAATAAATAATTATAATAAAATTATATAAACTTACTAGATATGATCATAAATGTGAGTGATTTCATACATGAAACTCCTGGAACTATATCCAGCCAGATTTCAAAATAATTATTATTTTTTTTTTTTTCTAATTTCTTTGAAATAAGGAAGATGTTGAAGAAAAAAATAATAATAATTAACTTGAAAATCGGCGGTCCTTCCCTGTACAAACTACAAAGTCCATGCTTTCCTGATTTTCCTTTGACCAAACTGCTTACAAGTGACGTTGAGCAAGAGGGTGGCTTTATATCAGCCAGCAATGGCAATCAAGCTTTGCCTAACTAATGGAAGTGAGCAAAGCACAGAGCCAAAAATTCCATTCAAGGCATAGGCTATGGCGCAGAACGGGAGAGCCTCGGGTTCCTTGGCCGATAATGCTGCTGTTCCAAGTCCGTGTGCACTGAAACACAAACAAATTGTGGATCAACCTCACTTTGATCTTGACAACAATGTAATGATGAAGCTCAATGGTTTCTAGTTTCTATTGGTAAATCGATGATTACTAGAAGAAAGCTATAACAAAAAGGCAGCCCTTTCTGCGGAAGCCAGCTCGAAATATTTGATCTTAGGTGCTTCTTTTGACTAACCAGTTTTTGTTGAGCATTGTTGAGAGGGAGCCCCACATTAGCTAATTTAGAGGATGATCGTAGGTTTATAAGTAAGGAATACATCCCATTGGTACGAGGCTTTTTAGGGAAGGCCAAAGCAAAGTTATGAGAACTTATGTTCGAAGTAGACAATATAATACTATTGTAGAAAGTCGTGATTCCTAACCGCTCATTCATTAAGGAAAGGCGAACCACCGATACCATACTAAAAAAAGGGAATGGGAACGAGAAGAATTTGAACCGATACCATACTATAATAGCATGTCATATAATATATGGCATGGATTTTACTTCCTATGCATGAATGATACCAACTTGCTAATATGGATTCATTGTGCCATAGTTCATACCTCGAAGCAGTTGCAATTCCCCGAGCGATAGGATCACGAAACTTCAGATTATCAAGGGCTGCCTGGACAAAATTTGCCCCGACCAGGCCGGTTACGACGACTACAGCAGCCGTGACAGATGAATTGGTGCCTACAACGAGTAAGGAACTAAGTTAACAGAAAGTTATGCTATAAACTGAGCTTGTCAGATATCATACTGATAAAACAGCTTCAGATAACAATTTGCTACTATTTTTTTGTAAATCACAATTGGTGCCTAAGATTACGAGATTACTGTAATTGTATGGTTGTTGTACCTTCAAAAAATGTCACAATGCTGAGTGCCAAGGCCACAGTTATACATCTTGGTAGGATTGAAACAGTCAAGTTAGGCTCTAGTCCAATGAAACGTCCAATAAGAGCAGTTGAGTACAAGGAGAATATAGTTGAGATAATAACAGAGGTAAAGATCTCAGCCGCATGCCTTTTAACGAGCTGCAAAATACAAGAGAGATTTCAAAGAGCGTGGCTAAATTGGCCAAGGTATATATCCTCGATCAAGAGAATATTGTTTGAATTCCGACCTCCATGTTCTTAATTTCAAAAAATGATTATCATAAAAATGAACTCTCAAACGAGAAAATAAAAATTGATCCTAGCTCGGGACTTAAAAGATCTTTCCGGGATAAGACTTAAAAAATCATTAAGCCATACGCAAAGTTTGATTCTACACGTAATCGAAGAGTTTTATAGGCTTTATAAGAACCAAAACATATCAAGCACAAAAACGAAATCATATGATAAATAAGAAAGAAAATTACCTTTCTCTGTTTGAACATCGAGAAAGCGAAGGAGAGGATTACAGATCCCAAAAATCCCATTAGAATATCACCAGCTCCAGGGTTAGATGATGCTTTTGTCAAATATGAAGCTGAAATTTTATAGAGGATTGCCAGTCATACAAACAGAAATTTTAGTAAGATGTGAAAGATAATGTGAAAGATAAAAGGTAGGTGCACCGGAATAAGGACTATATGAATTTTTCAAGTGTAACGAACCTAGATTTCTGATAGCCTAAGTCGTTATTGTGTACATAACATACACATTTGTGCGAACTGACTGGTAGGCCTATACTCGCACGTGTGACCCGTATGTAGAATAGTAAATACATATCTAATTATTCATTTAGGATAGCCGTCTAAGAAAATATAGACAGAAAGAATAGGTCTCGTTTATGATTATATGTGTTTACATCTAACCCCAATAGTGGGGTCATTTACTGAGTATTTCTTAAAATACTTCAGCCACGTGCTACTTCTATTTCAGGTAAAGACAAGGCACTCATGTTCGGCTAACGACGGCATCGCAAGTCGAGACCATGACACATGCATAAGATAAGATAGTTGTATTTATTTTTTTAGACTTAGGTTAGAATAAGGTGTTTTTGTCTTTAATGTTTATTTAGAAACTTGTTACGTCGTTTTAAAGATGTTTTTTAACACGTAAGTTCATGACAGTAGCGACTTTAGACTATCAAAAAATCTAGATTCGTTACATTAACCAACATATTTTAACATCTTTTGGATTTCTTGCCAATGAAGGAGAGATCAAAGCGTAAGGAAACATATCTTGGCTGAGACTGTACCTAGAATTGGATCAAGCCCAGAGCGGGAAAAGTATCCAAAAGCCAGTGCTGCAAGATCAGCAGAGACTGCACAACAGATGATTGGGTGGAAAACTGTCTTCACACTGCCTGGTAATCTGGCAATCACATATCAACAAACTATAAGATGCATATCATTAGTAAAGGGTATTTTATCCATTTCAGCTTTCTAAAGTTGAGGATAACAGAACTTTACTTAGAACCAACAATGTAGCCCAAGACCGTCGATGCAAGGAGGAACGGAAGGAACGTTCGAGCGCTCGTTCCTAGTGCTGTTGGATAAAATAAAGCACCAACAAAAGATGCCAGAAAAATTCCAGTCCAGCTCCAAACTTCAACAGAAGAAAAGGGAGATGGTTTTTGCATAGGCTCAGCATCAGTCATTTCAGTTTTTACAATATTTCTAACAGCTATGGCCATATATCCTGCAACACATAGAGTAGCTAGCCAGCCTACAACTGCAAAGCACCAATGAATGGAAGAGGGTAAGCCAATAAACTGAAACTCACACAGCCACAGAGGAGGGAGAGGCAAAGTGATACATGATTTTTCTTACTAATCTATTTTTCTAACAGTTTTGGAGATATCAAAAACTTTTCTTACTAATTATGCTCAGATTCTAAAGCATCAACGATTTTCCTTACTAATTAAGCTCATATTTTGGAGATATCAACGATTTTCCTTACTAATTAAGCTCAGATTCTGGAGATATCAATGATTTTCCATACTAATTAAGCTTAGATTCTGGAGATATCAACGATTTTTCTTACTAATTAAGCTCAGATTCTGAAGATCTCAACGATTTTTCTTACTAATTAAGCTTAGATTCTGGAGATATCAAAGATTTTTCTTACTAATTAAGCTCACTTGAAGATTCAAATACACGATCAAGGCTAGATGTAACTATGAGAATTAGAAGTAACAAATCCACCCCAAATGATATGTAAGGCTCGTTTAACATTTGGTTGATCAAATTCTCATAGTTAAGATACCAAAGATGATGATAAAATTTATGTACCTATTATGAAGCAAATTTTGATCCCAGATGCCGCAGGGATGTCCTTCACAGACAAAGGCAAAATAACCAACGATGGAACATAGAACAGAGGTAGCCACCTCTGGATAAACAAGAGAGCCGGTTCAAAGAAGTTCATAACGCCAGTAGCAGCCGATGGAACAGTAGAATCAAGAGCCAACAAAACAGTGAAGATACAAAACATCCCAAACAACGCACTGGGGAACTTAATCGCAGCAGCCACAAAAGCCTTTTTCAAGATCTTATCAGTCGCAAGAATAATTCCAAGAGAAACAGCCAAATGAATTACCGAAAACACCTACAGAGCATAAACGATAAATCATAATCCACAACCCGAAAAAACACAAATACAAAATCAAAGCTCAAGAATCCAGTTCATCTTCTATTGCTCACACTTTGAGAGAGAGTGGGAGAAGTGGTAGCGCCATCCGAAGCGGCCGATTTCAGAAGAAGAAATTCTCTGGAAGAAGGCGAAGTTTCTGGAGACTCCATTGGCAAGAACCTCCGACTGGAACAGAGGACTTTGAAGATGGGTTTGTTAGATTCCTGGGAAGAGCGGGGTTCGTAAATGGCGCGAGAGATACCATTGAAAGCAATGGAAGCTTTTCTGGAACGGAGAGAACGAAAATGGCACCATGGAATGGAGTTGGGTGCGGTGGAGACGGTTGGGTGGAGGAAATTGGAAAGAGACAGGGGTGAAAATGAATGCTGGGGTGTGGCGTAGCAGACCGCCATGGAAATGTACAGAAATTGAGAAGCTGCAGAGAATTCTTTTGTGGAATCTGTAAGTCGTTGAGTGGTCGTTGATGACTCATACGTGAACGATTGGGCGATCTGTCTTTGGTTTGTTATGATCCGACACGTGTCCTATTTGCTC